TTTTTTTTTGCAAAAATTACCCACCGGTTGGATTTCGGCCATTTCTTACCGTTAAATATGCATGTGTTGATGAGGTGGCATACCAAAAATTTTAAAAAGACAAAATTTCCCTTATAACCATTATAATATATTATGCTTGTATTAATCCCCAATTCAAACTTGCATTTGGCATTTGGAACCCTAAGCCTTTCTATTGCAAATCGTCATCTCGCGCTCTATGTATAGACTAGTTCGGTTTTGATTCTCTGTAAGGCGATGAAGATTCACAAAGCAATTAACTGTAAGTGACCCACAAACCCTAATTTTGAATGCGAATATAGGTGAAATTTCTTCAATTTAAGGTGATAGAAAAGAAGGTGGTGTTGAACAGTGTTCAAGCTTTCTTGGTCTGTCCTCCTTTGTGTAGTTTTCACTTTATAGGTGGAATTTCTTCAATTTACTGTGAGAAATGAAGGAGTTGTTGAGCTTTGTTCAAGCTTTCTTAATCTCTCCTTTGTGTACTGGATTGGTGTAAGCTCTGTTACGTGAAGCTCTGTTACGTGAAGCTCTCTGTCTCTAAACTCACTCCATCTCTCTAAATTAGCATCAAATAATTCCTCACTTCTACTGAAACGGTAAACCTTCTCTCTCTATGTAAACCCACTCAAAACTAATTTTAGTTGGGTTCATGAGCTACTGTAGAGAAGACGCTCAAAACAAAAGACCAAGAAAATCAACACACACAAAGACACAAACAGGTGTTGTGTTTGCACTGAAGAACAAATACCCACCTTTTATAACTAGCCAATAAAGAATGAATTTTGAGTTTCTTATTTCAAATATTCAACAAAATTATTACTCTGGTTCATTGGTTGTCATGTGCTCAAGTTGTCCGTGGTTGTTGGGTTTGAAGATTTGGGTAAAAGGGGCTTTGTTTGGTGGTGATGATGGCTTGGTGGGGGGTCTAGGTTTATCATTCTTTATATGTGGGTGATAAATTTGCGGATTTGTTTGTTGGGACACTTTATGAATCATTTGTAAGTCTTGATTTGATTATTTTTCATTGATTATAAGGATTGTTTTGGTATTCTATTTTGTGTTCAGATTATAGTAGCCTAAAATTGTTTTCTTTTTTATGTGATTAATGATTTTGTCGTTCTCATTTTCCAAAACAAAAAAGAGCAAAAAAAAAAAAAAAAACCAATTGAGAGAGAGATTTGGAGGACAATTTTCAATCAATGAAACGAAAGAACAGATTGATAAAGATGAACGGAGACAAATAATAGATTATAATTTTACTAGGCGATCATTTACTGATACATACATGCATATGGTTAGATTTGTTGATGAACACAAATTCTCAAATATATAGATACTTGTATATGTATATATAATAGTAATGGGTTTACGTAAAATAAAATAAAAAAATAATTAAAAAAAAGCTTTTAATGGTCATAAGGTTGAGATGTGCTGTCAGCTTCTTATTGGTTCTTTAGATTTTTTTTTTTTTTTCGATACAAAAACAACATAATATCACATATACACCAAACAACATCGTAACACTAATGGGCAATTTGGTAATCTCATTTTTTAGGTACTGGAAAGCTTACTGTTGTCCTCATCTGGAACTTTTAAATAGTTTAGGGGGGCATTTGTTAAATCAGGGGTTTTTTTTTGCAATTGTCTAATAGTTCAAGAAGGTTAATTGCACTTTACCCTAAAGTTTGTGTACTTTTTTTCTGTTTTTTATTTATTTATTTATTTATTTTTTTATCTATCCTATTGTAGAGCAATGTAATAAAGTTGCTAGAGGTTACTAATTAATAGAAATGCATAATAACTTTCTTTTTTTCTTTTCTTTTCTTTTCTTTTTTTTTCCCAAAAGATCAAGCAAAAATATAGATGCGCTGTATATATATTCTATACCTGGAACACTCAACCTCTTCATTTGAAAAGGAGAGTATTGTTATGGGCCTTGTGGCTACAAACTACAAATAGTTCATCTTGGAGATAAAATGACAATTGGATCGGCTTTCTTATTTATTAGGGTAAAGTGCAAAAAAACCCCTTGAAGCATTAGCCATTTGCAATTAACTCCCCTGATCTACAATTTGCCCCTTGAACTATTGAATTTTTGCAATTAACCCCTGATGTGACATCTCCAGCCAATTGGTTATAATAGAATTACTGAAAGACAATTTTACCCCCTATATAAAACTACGTCGTTTCACTAAAAATTTCAGCAACCACCATTTGCTAAACAGCTCCTATGTGACATCTCCGGCCGGTGATGGAGAGGACACTATATCTATATATCGATCTCCATTTCCACCTCTATAGTAACTATTGACCGTTACAAGTTGTTGCCGCCGACGGCTGTATATACGCAACAAAACTCACTAGCAACCAAATTGCGTCACCACCACCATTCCACTCCCCAACCACCAACAACAATACCATATTCCAGCGAATTAACCACCGCCACAACTTGTGCCATCACCCCTGCCATCCTCACCGACAACCACTGCCTCAGACCACCACTGCGGCGGTCGCTGCAGATCGTTTAGGTAAATGACCACCACATCTACACAACAAAACCACCACAGCCAAATCAGCGTCGCCACCACATCTGCACAGCAAAACTAAACACAGACAAATCGGCGTCGTTGTCACATCTACACAACAAAACCCATCACAACCAGATCGGTGTCGCCACCACCATTGCCGTTCCACGACCTAGCAACAACGCTATATTCCGGCAATAGAATTATTTGGGTTTTACGCTATAAATTATTTGGGTTTCCAAGACGATAGAGAAGGTGGTAATTGAATTGGCAGTGGCGATGGCAATAAGCACATTGCTATGGTTGAGCACCAGAAGATGTGTCGATACAAAAATTAATACAGAGAGAGTGAAATTCCCCAAACTACCTAATGAAGCAAGCACTCGGAGTTGTGAAATTGGTGATGAAGCATGAACTTGCCGTGAGTTCACCATCACAGCAACCATGAGTTCACCATCACATCCCGCTGCTCACCGCCCCAAGCTCTCCACGGCCGAGCCAATAGCCAAGTTCTCCATAGCCGGCCGATTCTTGCCTGCCGTCTATCTCCACCAACCTCGCCGGTCAGAGCTCCACCATCCGAGCTCTCTGCCATCGTCTCCACCGGCCGATTTCTCCACAGCCTAGCCCTCCTTTGTTCGCCGGTCGCCGATTCAATCTAGCTGAGCTCACCGCCGCTGCATCACCATTCCGTGACTGATTTTGGGAAGAGAGTTTCAGTCAATCTAAGGCAAGTAATTATGAATTTTGATTACGATTTTCTAAAGGGTGTGTTTCAGCAAGAATTCTTTGTGTTTCTTGGTGGTATGTTGGTGGTGGTATCATTTTGCTAGACAGAGAGAGATTTGTTTAGTCAATATCAATGGAGAGAGACTTGATCGAGGAAGATAAAGAATGAGGAATTTAGGGTTCTGGCCTATTTGGGATTTAACGGTAATAAAAGGGGCATTGTGGTCTTTTAGCTTCACAAAGGATTGTATGGTCATTTAAAGAAATTTAGGTTGTCACGTGACCCGTCATGTGCTTCTTTACGGTCAAATTCAACCGGCGAATCACCGAATTGGGTTAATTGTAACAAATATGATTAGTTCAGGGGGTTATATGTCAAATTATTAGATCAGAGGATTTTTTGCTAAATAGCCAGTAGTTTAAGGGTTTTTTTTTTCTCTCATCGTAGAGCAATGTTGTAAAGCTCCTAGAGGTTACTAAATAATAGAAATACATAGTAACTTCTTCTTTTTTTTCAAAAGATCAAGCAAATATACAGATGCGCGATATATATATTCTATACCTTGAACACTCAACCTCTTCATTTGAATAGGAGAGTATTGTTACAGGCTTTGTGGTTATATTCTATACCTTGAACACTCAACCTCTTCATTTGAATAAAGTATTGTTTCGGGCCTTGTGGCTACAAACTAAAAATACTTCGTCTTAGAAGGTCCAAATAAAATGACAATTGGATCGACTTTCTTATTTATTATTATTGAAGCCACCAATTGTTGGGCTTGGGAGACCTGACTAGGCCTCCCTCCTAACCCAAGTTTTAATTCAACTTCAATCTAACTTTTAACACGGTCCAAGTTTTTTACATTAGGGCAAAAACATGGAGCTGAAAATCTGATTAATCTCTCTCATTATAAACATACAAAATTCTAAAATTAAATTATTCTAGAAAATTAAGTATGTACAGAAATTAAATCTAATACCCAATAGCCAATATTGTACACAACCTCCGTGATGAATATCTTAGCATTTCATTGTATTTGCTATTAGTATTCACTTCACTCTACCAACCGTTCACTCACTACGGATCGTACAAGGCATATGATTTGAAACCTTCACACACCCAACTATTTTCTCCTAAAGTCACATTTTTTTCACTCTCATTAATCTCAAATTCATGAGTTATAAGTATTTATTTATAAAGTGGTAACTCGTTTCCTTTTTGAACAAGGATTGTAATTCCTTGAAGCCAAAGAATACTCCCAACCCTAAATTTTTTAGTTAAGATAAAAACCTAATTAAACTAGAAATTTTGTACGCAATTTCTTACCTCGTTTATTTTTGTATTATTTAAGCGTATTAAACTGATTTTTATTTAAGTTACCAAGGCTACTTTTGTTTTCACAATCAGTCATTACACTCCGTAGTGTGTTTATATAATATACAGATGAGGAGATTACTGTTGAATTGTTAAATTAACTGGGAGTTTTGTGTATTTTGACTAAATCTCAAAAATAGTAAGTTTAATTTTTCTTTCGTTTCACTACGTATTATTTATATATGATCATTTCTAATGTAAAAATAGGTGGTATACGTCAAAAGACCTGAATGCAATTTCACTAAACCCAAGGGAAAATTGTCTAAATAGAGAAAGAAAGCGTATGCGTGGAACGAAAACCTGTTGTATATATCATATTCACAGCATACAGAACCACCCCACACAACACCCCCTCCCTCTCCTCTCTCTCTCTCTCACACACACACACACACACACACACACACCTCTTCTCCAACACCAGCTTTGCTTCTCTCTTGCACTCTCTCTCTCTCTCTCTCTCTCTCTCTCTCTCTCTATCACTTTAGGGTTTTTGTTTCTCTGTCTAAAGAAGGTTGCCGATTGTCTATTTTCTCTCTCTCTCTCAGGGATTTGGCTGGTTGATGGAGTAGTTTCTAATGGCGACTGCGCCGGCGAAGTCTCAGCCTCTGCACTACTTTTCTCTGCCGCTACTAAGATGGGGCCACAAAAATCAGATGAACAGCCACCACTGCCGCCGTAGACCTTCCGACTCCAACCACAACTCCCCGCCGCCGCCCCGCCGCCGCCGCTCTTCACCTTCAGAGAATGACTCCGACGGCGGTTCCAAAAACCGGAGCCTTCCGGTCGGATCGCGAACCGTGCGGTACAGGTTCTCATTCTCGTCCTGTTCTTCGCAGAAACATCAAGACGCAGTTTTAGAGAGAGAAGACAACCAAGTCGATGAGTCTGAACTCAAAGAATCGGAGGGGAAGCCGTGGAATCTGAGACCTAGGAAGGCTGGTGCGAGGGCTACGACTGAAATCGAAGGGGTTTCGAAGAACGATGAAATGCAGGAAGCGAGTCATGCCGTTGTTGCAATTCGTGCTGTTGATCAGACTGAGAACCTCCCGAGATCGGTGAGATTGAGGGGTTTTGGCGAAGGTCAGAGATCGGAGAAGAAGGAGAAGAGGAAGTTCTGGATTTCTCTTTCTCGGGAGGAAATTGAAGAAGATATGTATGCCATGACCGGAGGGAAGCCAGCTCGGAGGCCGAAGAAGAGGCCAAAGAATGTACAGAAGGAACTAGATGTAATCACTGTTCTATATGTGCTTATTTTGTGTTTTGGTGCGTTTAATTGTTGGTTTGGTTTTTGTTGAAAATTTGATGTTTGTTTGCAGAATGTTTTCCCTGGCATGTATTTAGCAGGAATTACAGCGGATGATTATGAAGTTAATGATGTATTGTTTCTGCCTCTCTCTATATAATCTATATATCTGTGTATATATGTATATATATATGTGTTTGTATGCTAATTGTTTTTGCTAATGCAGAGGTAGATATGTCTGAAACAACTTTGATCGTTAGAAGCTTGAAGAGGTTTGGTAGAGCTTGCCCATGCTGCATTGAGGTCTCAATTGGAGGTATTGCAAAGATGAAAGGAGAATACAAAATTGAAAGACATATACTTTCTTTTCTGCTAATTCGCACTGCACATTATCGGATCATGTAGGTATATACCCTAGTAGTTTTTCTTCTTGTTAATAGTTTGGGATGTAAGCATGAACATAAAGATGGATGAATAGAGAGAATTGTGTTGTTTTTGTTTCAATTTGTTGTCACTTGTTGAATTTTTTGGGTGATACTGTTGTTAGTTCAATATGATTTGTGATTTGTCAACTATCTTCGTAATGTTGATAGGCTACGGTACTCTGTTTGGGGGCAGAACTTATACATTGTTTTAGTTTGCAAATCCAAAATCAAATCAAGAAATATTAGGGGAGGCACTGCTTGCACCTTTGTCCTCGAAAGATGCTTCCCCCAATTCTACTTCCCCAAGAAGGAAATGATGAAGTTGAAATTATAAAAGCAGGCTACATGTTTTTCTTCTTTATGTTTGTTATTGGATTCTATATTTTCTTTCATTATCTTTACCAACTTAAAAGTATAATGAGAAAAGGTAATATATATAATAGCATCTTTTAAAAATACAAACTTGCCGTTGGTTTGAAATTTTGAGATGATTTTTCTTATAAAGCTGCAGTTTTAATTAATATATTGTATCCATTCCATATATATTGGAACTTGAATGCACATGAAAGTTTTGAAACATTCATTTATTCATTTTTGTTTAGGCGTGAAATGAGGTTTTGTATATGCTTACTGATTGGGACACCACATCCAGGCAGCAAATGTGTTTAGCTTACTAAATCTTTTTCATTGTGTGAACCGTTTATGGAGTCTATTGTGTTAGACTATTGGAGTAGAAAGACAAAGTAATCGATGCATAACCCAATTGCAATTACCTAGAGTGCACTACATGTAAATCCATCTGTATTACTTTCAATAAATACTGATTTGTTTGTATATACCCTGTTCATATTGTATTTTTCCACAACAAGAATGTAGCTACTACCTATAAGACATTCATTTAGATGAGATTCGTATGAAACTTCTAGTATCACTTTGTTTCCACAATTTTCATGCTGCTAGAGTGGAATGGTGTTGGCTGAATATGCGAAAATATTGTTCAATTTGCCTTCTCCATGTGAGTTGAGTTTATGCCAATCATAAAGCAAAAAAATTGAATATGTAGCTTTCGTAAAATTGAACTGTGATCCTTCAGCTATTCCATCTAATTAATTCAATTCAAACAATGCAAAACTGAATCCAGAAAACTTACTTTTTATCTTTATATTGATATATGAATACCTTTCCGGTTCTTTTACATTCTTACCAACTTACATAGATAGACCAAATACCATCATGAAGAAAATTGTATAATTAGATTCTGAATCAGAATGATAGGGATAAAGCATACACTTATTGTGGACAACCAGGTGATCTACCAATCCAACTCTATCCATGGGGTTCATAAAGTCTGACGAGCCATTGTGCATAATAGTCCTGCAAATTACAATGTTTGATACAGTCTGTTCTACAAATTTAGATTATAACAAACACAGTGGCTCCCAAATCAGGGGATATATTGTGCCACAAATGTTACTGGTGGCAATGATGATTAATTATGTCTCCTTATCAGGGCAATGGAAGTCAACTTGTGGAAGAAAGCTTCTTCCTTATATCTCTGAATTTTATTGAGCTCGGGACTGCTTCTGTTATAGTGCCTACAAATTAGAATGGTATTTGTTGATAGAACACAAGGTAAACATATCATGCATAATGTGAACGTAACGAAATTTATCTTATGTTACTTCTCACAATTTGAAAATATGGATTTTTAATTATTGCATTGTCATATCATTCAATATCGACATGTATAAATCATCAAGTATGAATGGGTTTATGTGGGTGTGCATGTTTTGTGAGACAAATAGTTGTGTACTTTTAGTTTTCCGTTGGTGGGGGAACCAGTAGGAAGGGTGTACAATTCTAGTCGTTACTGGAGATTTTTACCTTTAATATTAACAGCTTGTGAATGGGGAAAAAGAGGAGGCAGTGGGGATTACACTTATACGTCAATGGGTGCTAATGAATATAGCCAAAGTAGATCCCTTTAATTATGATAATTGTGCAAAAATGAGGAAATATTGTGTATAATGTGTGGCAAGCATGCACCAAGTAGATTCTGGTTTTTTTTTTTCTCTCTCTCTCTCTTCCACTGGCAAGAATTTTCTACTGGATCCTCTGAATTGATCTACAGTAAGAGATCCAAAGATTGATGTTGGAAGGTTGATGATTCAAGGTTCCGAAGCTTTATGCTTATGGGTAATTTTCTAGAACCTGATAATCTGATTATAGTTTCTCTTATTATTTCTTTGAGGATATTCTTTTTCTTTTTTTTTAATTATTATTATTATCAGAAAGTAGAGTCTTCGATTATAGTCTAAAAATTATGGTACTCTCTTGCAAGTAATTAGTCATTCGCATTACTTCACATAAACTCAGTTGATGCACAGCTCTTGCTGTTGTGACAATCTGCTTCGGTGTCATGCATGTTATGTGCTATGAGGCTGGACTTACTGTTTTTGCACAGCTTAGTGGCTTTGAATTTCTTTTAACACCTCACTAAAGATTAATAGAAGCCGAGAAGCTACAGTCCTTGAGCTTGTGTTTAGAAAACTGATTTTCTTGCTCTCACTGTTTCCTACTTGTTTAATCCAATGAAATCAACCAAAAAACTTTTCTAATATTGTTTTTGTTGCTTCCATTTTTTACTTTGGACCATGATAGTTGGCCATTTTTGGTCTTGTATCATTTTCCTTTTTCTTTTAGCTTTCTGTAAAATATGACTTGATCACTAACAAACAGCAAAAGACAGTCTTATCACCTAGTATTCCTCCACACTCGTGATTGGTGTGTTGTTTGAGTTGAGATGTATGATGCTTTTTGCTAATATTATCAATTCTGTTCCCTCCTTTGATTTGATTGGTTGGTTGTGTTTTTCCGTTGTCACTTGGGAGAGGAGAGGAATATGGTGAGATTGGGAGGGACTCTTCCCTCTGCTCCTCTACAAAATGCAGGGCCTTCCATGACTTTGCCTTTCCTCCTTACATGACTTGTGTCCGTGTAAGGTGATGCATAGTGAGCACTTTCTACCAGGAGCAGAGTATTTAGGTGTTTTGTCAGTAGTACCGAATTTTTTTATTGCAACTGTGTTTTTGCTAACCCTCCTACTCGCCTTGAAACAAACTCCTGGTATGTGAAAGTTGAGAGCCAAGTTCACAAAAGCTTTGCGTGACTGTTTGGGGGTGAATTTAGAAACAATGGTCTTATGGTTTTTGACAAAATTAATATATCAGGACTATCAATTTATAAAACACAAGTTTCACTGAAGTGTGCTGGAATCCAAACCGCCGATTCACTGCGCATTGCAAGTCCCAGTGGAGACAAAGAGAGGAACCTTCATATGCTCGGCAAATTTAAAGAGAAGATAGAATTTGAGAGAGAGAGAGTAAGAACGATGTCTTGTATTTGTATGGATTTTCTCCTATTCTAAATTCAAGTTGTTGATTTGGTTTTTCTAAAGACAGTAACAAAAATTTAAATTTAAAATATATAATAATTTCACTAATGTGAAATTTTTGGAGACTTGCTCAGGGAATTTACCTATAAAAAAAAAAAAAAAAAAAAAAAAAAAAAAAAAAAAAAAAAAAATTAGAAAAAAAAAATGGAGAAAATGGAAGCAGAGCTTTTGGAAGAAAAAAAAAATTAATGCGTTTCATCACCTGGGGGCATTCCCGCAACTTTGGTATATCTTGAAATTAAGAGGAACGTGGGTTTGTTTAGTGAAACAGCACAACTAACCGTATTAACCGCCACCATTAAAATCAATATCCCCCAAAAAAAAACAAAAAAAATAAAAATTTGAACAAAAATCCAAAACATTGCTCAAAACCATATTTTGAAAAGTAGTGCAAAATAAGCAGCAAAACAATCTGATTTGGGTTTTGGTCCATATACCAAGGAAGGAAGATATTCATTCAAATAACATCTCTATATTTCATCAAGAGAAACCCAATGGAAGAAATGATCAGAAAGGGACAGTGGACGGCTGAAGAAGATGAAGTACTCATAAATTTTGTGAAGAAATATGGTCCCAGAGATTGGAGCTCCATTCGATCCAAAGGTCTCTTGCCCCGGACCGGAAAATCTTGTCGTCTCCGATGGGTCAACAAGCTTAGACCCAACTTGAAAATGTAACACTTAATTACTTTTAATCTCTTGGAAATTTTAATTTTCTTTAGAATTTTTGAAGTTTGATAGTGAGGGCTCATTAGTGTTGAAATTTGCATCTATAACTTTAGTTTCTGTTCCTATAATTTGTCCACTCTATATATATAGAAAATGATTTTGAAATTTTGGCAAAAGTGGATGCAAATTTTCTGCAGAGGAAGAGAGAGTGGTGATAGAGTTGCAGGCAAGGTTTGGGAACAAATGGGCGACGATCGCGTCGAATTTGCCGGGGAGGACTGATAATGATGTCAAGAATTTCTGGAGTACTAGGCAGAAGAAGTTGGCAAGGATTCTAAAATCATCGTCTTCGCAGCGGAGCAAGTCGCGGAAGAACAAAGGAAAAGCCATGGATGTCAATGACATGCCAACATTGCAGGTAATGAGAAGTTTAACCTCAAAATTATGCCTTTAATTGAATTTTTTTTTTTTTTTTTTTTTTTTGACTAGTTAGTTTTCTTTGGCTAAAAAATTAGAGGGTGTTTAAAATGCTTAAGATAGGGTTAATGATTCATATTGTGTAGATTTATTTAATAGTTAAAATAATTATGTCTTGAGTTTTGTACGTTTGATAAAAGTAAAATCTAGAAATGCTGCAAAAAATAGTTGAATTGAGTGGAATTGAAATGATATAAGATTAATCTGGCAAAACTGTTAAAATAAAATGTTAGCATGATATCTAAAAAGGAATGATAGTGTTTAAGGTTCAATTTCTCATCCTTTATTGGCGCATTTGATTTTGACCTTTTTATCTTGTTATTCAGGTTTATATATAGCCATTAAAAGCACAATCTTATACTTATTTTCTGATGAGAAAGTACTTGTTCATTTTCAGGCTCCTAAATATAGTCCCACTCTAGTGAAAGAAGAATCAACTTCACACTGCTATTCTTGCTCCTCTTGTAGCATGCACAACACTGAAATGACCAAAATGACACTACCGGATTTAATGAGCACAAACATGGTCAATGTGAACACTAGCCTTCCTTTTGTTGATGTCGTAGAGACTGATGAAAGATCATCAACAAAAGCAGAGCTCTCACTTTTGCCAGAAAGCCATGATTTTGTCGAGGGAGTAGTACTTGATGAACCCAACTACTTGGATATGTTTACATGTCGAGAAGTTTCTGAACTCGGAAATGTACCACATCTCAGTTTTCAGTCACCATTTCTTGAATTGGAGAGCAGTTTCCGGGCTGATGGAAGAGCTGAAGATGATAAGCTTGAAACCCCGGATAGTTTCTTTGACGATTTCCCAGGTGACATGTTTGATTAATGGGCTTGAGCCAATTCCAAGCTCATCGGCACCAAGAAATGTGTTAAATTTGCTCATACTCTGGTTTGTTAATTTACTGTATAAATGTGCTGACATGTAATAATGGAATGTATTACTATAATACTGATTTCTGTTCTAATGATGCCCTTCTCTGTAGCACATTCCAGTGGTTGTTTGGATTGAGTTGGTCAAGCTTGTAAACCCAAAAAAAGAAAAAAAGAAAAAAAGGTTGAAATACTTTTTTGGATCCTCCCAATGTCGCCATTGGCACAAGATATAAAAGCTTGGGTGTACCATGTGCATCCCATGGACAATTATCGAGAAAATATTTTGGTAGTCACTGGAAAGGGATTGAAACTTTCGACTGCAAGATGTGGGTGAAAGTTTTTATCATTAGACTATTCTCTTAGTTAATTAGCAACTTTTTCTTGAATTCATCCCAAGAAATTTACAAATTTGATATTCAGCATAATTTAGTGTGACTGTTCTATAGTTGTCAAAATGTTCGGGCGATCCTAGGTGTAAGTAAGGCCAATGAATATTGTGATCCGAGGTCCATGGTCATTTGACTTGTTTTACTTCAAGTTGGTGAAACATGGTCTGCTCAATCGATAATGAAAACTAATTTTATAAAATCATATAGTTTGATTTGACTCTAATGGTCAATTTTTCCATCCCTATTTTAAAATAGTAAATTGGTTGATCCCTAATTCAGGTACTTTAAAGCCTAACCAAGCTAAATTGGGTTATTTACACACACATGATATAAGTATATGTGTTTTTATTTGATTGGTTTTAAATGTTAATTATGTTAGGCTTGCATACACCAAATCAAGGTGTTATTCAAAGTCCTAAATTCAGATGTGTTTTATGTAAGCTAAGACCAATGTCTTATAAAGCTTGGATTGATGCAATTTAGGAAGTTTTATTGGTTTGATATTTTGATGAAATTTAAGAAGAGTAATGACCAAAACTGAAATCAAATAAACATGCCTTCTTGTGAGTGAGATTTTGAGAAGAGTTGTTATATATTTTGGAGTGAGGAAGTCTTTTATTACATAATTTTACTTGTATTTTTTTACCAGTGAATTTTTTATCGTTTTATTCATGAAATATTTGCTATTAGAAAAATAAAATAATTTGGCACAAAAAACCTATTACATAAATCAGAACCTCATAAAAGATAAATAAAATTATGAAACATAAAAGAATATATGTGAAACATTGGCAAATTCCTTAAAAAAAATTTACCCAATTATAAAACCCCTTCCCTTTGCATCTATTCTATTCTCCATATGATCAAACCCCCTTCTAATCCCTCCACCACTACCATGTCTGCTGCCTCATCTCTCTCTCTCTCTCTCTCTCTCATCTAAAGGTCCACCACTTCCTGACGATAAGACCCATTTCCACCAATAAAGGAGGGATCCTTGACTTCTCCACCGCCCCTACTGCCGCCACCCTTCTTTCTCCGTTGCTGCAATTAAGGGCGAAATTGGCATTCCACTTAAAAAATTTAAACGACGATAACCACCAATTTATCAAATACCTCTTAATTCTAAAATTCTTGTTCCTTCTAGAGATACAACTCTATAGAAGATATAAATTTAATTCATTGTCTCTTTCAAATTCTCAAAACTACTCATTTGAATTGAATTTCTTTTTTTTTCTTTTTTTATAAATGATATTTTAAGAAAAATACCATATCGAACACAGTTTTTTTTCAAATGAAATGTAAAATTGGAAAAAAATTTTTTTTTTTTTTTTGCGTCTATTGCATCGTATAACGGGAAATTATTAGCGTGTATAATATACATGGACATGTATATTACGCAAACATATGTATTACGCGAACTATATATATTACGCGAATGATTTGGACGTGGTCAAAGGAACAAATTTTGGGACGGTAAGTAGAAAAGAAGTAAATGGTTTGCCCTTTGAACAAGCAAAGTCTTGTTTTGACCATTTAGTGGTCCAGATGTGGAAATTTCATCGGCTTTGGATAAATACGATGGATTTAGCTCTTGTATTATACTTTATCATGTACTAGATCATACGTAACTCTAAATAATATATTCTTTCTTCCCTAGTCCAACGTGGACTACCTTATTGTTATTTATTTATTATATATATATTTGTTAACCAGACAAACTTATGTATAATATTTCTAAATTTAAAAATTATTTTCAGCCAGTCAAAATAGTTAAAAAAGTTACGGAGTAAAACAATAAAAATGATCCATAATTTTATTTGAATCATGGCATGTGGTAACTTTGAATAGCAATTATTTTTAAATTTGATCACTACATATTACAAACATAAAAAATTTCAAGAAACAATATTCATAGTTGTGAATCGCTATGTTTGTTTGTAGCGTTGTTTAAAGACTTAGTAGAAGTCTGACGTTGGTCTAATTTTTAATTGAATACTTCTTTTTTTAGCTTTGTGATTTTTATGCATAAGCAGTGATTTCAAAGAATTGTCTTTTATAGTTATCTGAAAACAGTTTTATGTTCTTTGAATTCTTGATAACTGTTTTCAGAATTACAGATTGTTCTTAATTTCGAATCTAAAAGAATTAATTTTCTAATAATTATCACATTACGTGGATATTCAAATACAATTCGTTTCATTATAAAAATAATTTTTTATTTTTTATTTTTAATTTTTGAGAACTATTTTTAAAATTACAAATCGTTCTTAATTTAAAATTTAAAAAAGTTAATTTTCTAATAATACAGGTGGATATTCAAATACAATTGGAATATAATTCGGTTGGTTGTAAATTCCCTTGTAGCCACTGGTTTAAAGTAAAGGCATCCAACAATTCACTCAAATCTATGAAAATTTTAGTGTCCATTCAACAAGACTTTTGAGAATGACAATATCCAAATTAATTGGGGCATTGTCAATGACACTTACCAAACCCCACTGGTATATATCCCACATGTCTAGGACCGACTTTTTAGTGTCATTTCTCATGTGCCCACGTTATTTATTTTAGATTTAGTTTGAACAAAGAATGAAAATTTAGAAGGAATACAACGTTGGAGGGAATATAAGAGGCATCCTATAAAGAGAGAATTGTTGTTTAAGGAAGAGAAGTGATAGCATACCTAAAAAGTTTAAAGGGTAAAAATGTAAAAAGTGAAGTGATTATCTTTTTTCCATTTCCTTCCACTTATCACAAGAAGGAAAAGGAAAAGGGAAAGGAAAAACGAAGGAGGGAAGATCCTCTCATCCAAGGCAAATTATAATAATAATAATAATTGTCAAAATAAGAGAATAGGAGAGGAGACTTTTTTTTTTTTTTTTTTTTTTTTGAAAATGAAGGAGAGAGGGGGTTTCATTCTTTTATTTCTTTAAACTTTTTGAAAAGATCATTTAATATAAAAATGGTATAATTATTAAAAGACCCAATAAAGTTTGTTGGAATAAGTAGAAGAAAGAAAAGGAAAAGAAGAAATGTATTAGTTGTCTAGGAGAGAATAAAAAGGGAATGATAAATAGTAATGGTGATTGGTGACACTTTGTGTTTGGATAATTATGTAATTTGAAAGAATCCCTGTTTGTTAAAATAAGTAGTAATAATCGTGTTTAAGAGAGAGAATGGGAAAATATATATATATATATGAGTGAAAAGGGCAAAATTTAATATAATTTGTAATAAATATATAGGTAAAACTGGTAATCACTTATATTTTATGCTTTTCTTTGAAATCATTCCCCTTTTATAATATTAATATTAGGGTTAAATGCAAAAAAAACCTCTAAACTATTATCATATCTGCAACAAATCCCTCTGAATTATAAAAAATGCAATTAACTCCTTGAACTATGCAATTTTGTTGCAGATGACCCCATCGGCAAGTCTCCGGCAGGTTTTGACAGTAACAGTGTATAAGTTGAAAATAAATGATCATAGTGCCCTTATACACATGAAAGGACAAAAATACCCTTAATTGTTAAGGTTACAACCAAACAAGTCTATTACTTATAATAAGACAGCCAAACACCCCTCAACAGTACGTTTCTAGAACTTGGCACGAGCACCACACCCACCGAACTTCTTGGGCTCGCAGCGTCTGGGGTCGGCTACTAGGAGGGTGCGATCGTAGCGGACGAGGATGTCCTTAATCTCCTTCTTAGACTGCTCGTTGACGTACTTCTGGTAGTAGGCGACGAGGGCTTTGGCAATGGACTGACAGATGGCGTAGATCTGGGAGGTGTGACCACCGCCTTTGACTCTGATCCTCATGTCGATGCCGGCGAAGTGGTGGCAACCCAGGAGGTGTTGTCTGATACCGGTTAACTCCGCCGGGACGTTTTGTTTTGCCTTCACACCGATATCCTCGGCGTTGTCTATTATCAGTAACGTACAGCAGCAGGGGACACGTGTCAGTTATGACCTTAAAGGGTTATTAGGCTGTGTTTTGGAAAGATCGACAAATTTCTCTCTAGCACTCTGTTCAACGCCGGGATCTGGTCGTATCAATCTCCTTCTTTGTTTGTGTATGTTGTGTAAGGTTCAATATATGTATATATATGTGTGTGTGTGTGTTATATATATGTATACCTAACATAAATTTTTATTTATGTATTATTTGTAGAATATAGTATTAATTGTATGCAATCACAAAATTGAAGGCCCAGATCAACCTCATTTCTCTTAATACCTCTCAATATTGGTTCGTGCCGGACATACCTCCTTAATTTTGATTCGTGTTTGAACAATTTGTGTCACCCTTGTCATGATGTACCCACTCTGTGGGGATAATGGGGCAGGTTTGTGGGGTTCGATTGGGTTTGATGATTCTCTATAAATTACTCGAGTTTCTATAAAGTAAGATTGTGGTTAGTGAGGTGGCGGCCATGGTGGTGGCTAGATGGGGGTGGTGGTGGTGGTTTGATTCGGTTTGGCAGAAGTTTCCATCACGGTTGGATTGGTTAACGTTGTGGTGGCACTGATAGAAGTGATCGAGGTGGTGGTGATGGTGGTGGCGGAGGTGGGGTGATGGCAATGGGTGATTGGGTTTGACGGTGTGTGGTGGTGTAGGAACAATGAAGTTCCAGCCATATGAATTAGGTGTCGACTATGATAGTGGTGGCGGAGGTGGGGTGGAAACAGTGGGTTTGTGGTGTTGGTTTGGGGTTGATGTTAATGCCACCCCACCATTGCTTTGCCGCCCTTTGTTCACAGTCGCCTTGAATATAGCTTTCACAGTCCCTATGATGGTTCGATTATGTTGGCAGAGAACGAAGAACATACATGACCTCCACAAATGGCTTGTGTGTTTGTGTATGGCACAAATAAGTGGGTAGGTGGTATGATGGAGTAAAAAGAGATAATAGACCTTATCTCTTTGGTGTGGTGCCAATATCTCATTGGTTCCTAATATTTTCTTTGCCACGTCATCAAGTTAAGATGACAATATTTGAAGCTGCGTCATTTTATAGTAAGGGTAAAGCTGTCTTTTGCCTTTTTCGGTGACCTGATGGGGTAAATTGCAACAAAATGATAGTTCAGGAGAGTTTCTTGCAAAACCCCAATATTTTAGGAGGTTTTTTGCATTTAACCTTTAATATTATTATGGGTAATGTGCAAATACCCTAATGATTAAAAACCTTCATACACTTTGCAAATTGAGCAAATAAAGTCATTTTGTCAATTTAAAGACCGCAATACCTAAAACACTACAAAATAAAAGTACAAAACATTGATTTCAATTTTTAAGAGTATATTACAGGTATTTTGAAATTTTTATAAAAAATTTTGGTTAAATTTGTCCATCAACAATATTTGCACATATTTTCAAATATTAGAAATTTGTATGTATACTAGATAGATTAAGTGTTTTTTTTTCACATTTTTTATATAACAAGGTGTTTTTTTTTTTTACATTTTTTATATAACGTTTTTTTTTCACCACTATTATTATTTTAGAGGTTTTTTTTTCCCTATTTTTGCACCACAAATTTTATTTTAATTATTTTCAAATCTCATAAATTCAGTTCATTTTTATTATAACAATTTTTAAATAATTAAATATAAAATTTAATTATGGAATTTCCTATTCAAACCATCATAAATATAATAAAAATCCTATTATAAAATTTGAATCCATCAAAGATCATAATTTCCTTAAATAATAAAGTTCATGGTTTAAAATACTAAACTAAGTCACATAATTTACCCTAAGTAGTGTCGCTTTTATGCTCGGAACTCGTTCTTATTCTCACATTCTCCTTGTTTTTACTCCCATTGTCACTATTTATAATTTAATAATGTCTCTTTCGCACTTCGATTCTAACTTTCATTTTTGCTTCAAGTGACTTTAAAATCCATAAAATATCATAATTTCCTCCAACTGCCATAAAAAAGTATTACTCCTTTGTCTCATTTTGGATATCGGTTTTGATTGTGAGTTACAGTTTTTTAAATCCATATCTAAAATGAAACGGAGTAGTATTTTATAGTAGTAGTAAAAAAGAAAAAAGAAAAAAGAAAAAAGAAAATCATCTTCCAAAGTTTGTCTCTCCTCCTGGTCACACACAAATCAGCATATTCCTAAATCTTTTGAGACAATCCATCCCTACCTACACGTATGACTAAACCAACGGTAAATATCAAATGACCACCTTTCTTTATCATCTTTTATTTATTTATTTATTTTACTACTACATATTAATACAACCCAATTTATGGTTGGATTGTGTGATCCACGACACATGTTGTTGTGTTGACTCCCACCTCACTTTCTCTCTCTAATTCATTTTCTCCCTCTATATCTATATCTCTCTCCTCCACACATCTACATTTCTCTCCCTAGACTAGAGAGAGAAAAAAAAAGAAACAATTCAATCGAAAACCGACCAGCCGACTAAAAAACCCTAGAATTCTTGAACTCCACCTCCAATTAACCAAACCCTAACCTAATTTTTCTTTCTCGGATCATGTAAATTTCGTTCTCTGTATTAGGTTTTGATTCTCAGTTCTGCTTGGTTCGGTTTCTAGACCCGAGAAAGCGATCATGACGCGACGTTGCTCGCATTGCAGTCACAATGGCCACAATTCTCGGACCTGTCCGAATCGAGGAGTCAAGCTATTTGGGGTCCGATTGACCGATGGTTTGATCCGGAAGAGTGCCAGTATGGGTAACTTGACCCACTACACCGGATCTGGTAGCAATACCCCTCAGAACGGCGTCGGCGGCGGCAATCACGACTCTCCGGCGGACACTCCCGATCACGCCGCCGATGGTTATGCGTCGGAGGATTTTGTTACCGGGTCGTCGTCCAGCCGGGAAAGAAAGAAAGGTTCGACTCTTCTAGTTCACACATATGCATTTATGAATTTATGTCTTTGTTTATTTGGATACTTAGTAGATCCGTAATACTTTATTTCTGTTGGTGATTTTTGTAATGAATCAATTTTGGAATAGAAGCAGACAAATTCCTGCTCTGAAATTGATCTTCATTTGGTTCTTCTTTTACTCTAATTTTATGTGAACACACTCTGTTTGGTTGGTGAGAAATTGGAAAACAAAAGAGACTACAATTTTGGGTTTTGTAATTTAATTCTTTTAGTTTCTAGAAAAATGAAGATATCAACACAATTGAATATCAGGCTGACTTGAGTGGAGGGTTATGATTTCCAGTTCGGAATAGTAAAAATGATATGGAAATGTAATTATTTTTTTTTCCTACACCTTTACTCAGCAGATAGGTACCTTTTTGTTCTGCTTTTTTGGAAGGTACCAGTCTTAAGAGAAGAAAAATGGGTTTCCAAAGAGAGCTAGCTCTTGATGGATTGTGAGGACCGTGTGTGACCCTATAAGATAGGTAGGTACTTACCAATATTACGTGTGTACATTTCACGATCTATCATTGGAGTTAAAGAGAAATAAATTTTCTTAGTTATTTTGCTAATATTTGAACTTGGAATTTTATTCCTTTGGTTTGACATGATTTATGTTGCATTTTTCAGTGTAAAATAGTCAAAGACTAAAGTTAGTGCTGGTCACTTTTCTTCCTCTCAGGGGACCTGCATTTTTTTTATCCCCCTCTTTTGGGTCAATAAACAGTTATTGGCACTAAAATGCTAAGTGGTAGTCTTTCTTTTTCTTCTTCCTTTTGGTATTTTGGTAAGTAAGAGATACTGAATACACCCACAATGGCCCTTATGCAGACTTCATCCATCTACCTTCTAGATAAGAAGTAGAGTAGATACCACTAGAGTTAGGCTTTTGGTAAAGTGGTAGTCTTTCATGTATGGTATTGGGTTATATTTTTAATAGTTGATTAAAGTTTCACTTTTACAATATATTATGGTTTGATTAAGATGAGACCTGTGTTACTATTGAGGTTAATTGGTGGGGCAGAGCAAACTAGGTTTTAAGCATATGATGATGGGATCATTCCTGCATTTGGGCTATGGAGTCATGAAGTTTTTTTTAATCTGTAACTATAGAGATTGCTGGCAATTTTTGTTGTGGAGGCTATGAATAAAGGATTTGTGTTAGCGAACTTCCAATTCTTTTGTGGACTTGATTCTTTTGAGGCTAATTCTTATTTGGATAATGATTAAAATAGACATATTTTTGTTAGTATGCTTTAGTAAATTATGTGGGTTTGAGAATGGAAGATATTGGCTATTTTACAGTGTCTAGGTGTTTGAATGTATTGGTTTTGGCCGGAATGCGATACACATTCAAACTTCTTCATTGTCTTCAATGTTCTAGTTTTACCATTATATCAATGTTAATTGCGTTGTCCTTCTTTGTTTTAGGTAAATTATGTGTTATCTGCTTTGTTATGTGGATTAGGTTATTCTTGGTCAGCCACTTGGTGCATATTGTTTTTGTGACACATATATCTTATCTCCTATTCTGCACATGACTATATTTTAGCAGGTGTTCCGTGGACCGAAGAGGAACACAGGATGTTCTTACTTGGCTTGCAAAAGCTTGGCAAAGGTGATTGGCGAGGAATAGCACGTAATTATGTGATGACAAGAACCCCCACTCAGGTGGCCAGTCATGCCCAGAAATATTTTATCAGGCAAAGCAATGTTTCTAGGAGAAAGAGACGGTCCAGCCTGTTTGACATTGTAGCAGATGAAGTGAGTACTTCTATGTATATGCAGAACTGCATGATACAGGCATTTAATTATATATACATATATATTTGATATCAATGCGCATATCTCTAAAACGAGGATTATTTATGGGTATGGATAACTTTGTCAAGTGAGTTGTTGCTACTTGTTTTTGGCGAGATAAAATTATTATGGACTTTTCCAATCTCTATCCACATTACCATAAAGAACATTTATGGCACATGACGTGACGATTGTGAGGCAATTGACCCATCTCTCCATGATTGCCTCCCTGGGTGTGAAGAACCAACTTTATTGAACATTTTTGGTTTATTATCTATAGACTCCAATTTAAATAATAATCACTCGTTCCTTTATTTTTCTTAGACTTGCCTCAATACCTTCTGCTTCCTCTGGCTCAAATGTGCAATATGTGCACATGAATATATGCCTTTTCTGTTTTTAGCCATTAAGTTACAATGACGATGTTTCCTTCCGCTTGGATATGTTAATATATCTCTGTTTAACTTTGCGTTTCACTTTTATTGCAAATTTGTTATTTTAAAGTAATTATTAACTTATTATTTCTTTTTGTGTTTTTCTTTGTACTTGCTGCTTATGTATCATTGCTGTATCTTATATGTTTGTAGTCAGTCGACACCCCAATGGCATCACAAGATTTCTTTGCCAACCCTCAACAAGGTGAGACACAAAGCAACGACATGTTGTCTGCTCCTCCTGCTTTGGATGAAGAATGTGAATCAATGGATTCAGCCAACTCAAATGATGGTGAACCTGTCCTTCCAAAGCCAGATAGCTCGCAATTGCATTACCCAGTTGTATTTCCTGCTTATGTTCCTCCATTCTTCCCATATTCTTTTCCATTTTGGCCGGGGTACAGTACAGAGCCAGCTAAAACAGAGACTCATGAAGTGCTTAAGCCAACAGCAGTACATTCAAAGAGCCCAATCAATGTTGATGAGCTGGTTGGCATGTCGAAACTAACCTTGGGGGAATCACTTGGCGATGCAGGATCGTCCAATCTCTCGCTGAAATTGCTTGAAGGCTCCACTCGGCAGTCAGCTTTCCATGCTAATCCTGCCTCTGGAAGTTCAGGCATGAACTCGGGCAGCAACGCGATCCATGCAGTCTAGAAGTTAAAGAGAGTACTACATCAAATTGTAGGTTAGCTCAGATTTTGGTGGGCGCTGGACAAATTTATGTTAATACAAGACGCAATAATGTGCAGTCTGGTCTCAGTTATAGGTTTTTTTGGTTGAATCAGCTTAATATGTTTGGTTCTTAGGAATCCTCAGCTTAATGCCAGTTCTTGTAGACTCTGGCAACTTCTGTCAGAAATTATTTGAACCTTTTAAAAATTTGAGTTAATTTATTATGTATTTTTTTTTTTAATTATTAAGAATCATGCTCTGTTGTGCTGTTATAATTTCTAAATCAGAAGTTATGAAATTCAACATAAGATTTCTTAGTTTTTGTGCTTGGGAGCGGTTCTTCTATTACTTACTTGCAAAATGAGTTAGTTTGTTTAATTGTCAGTAGGAAATAAAAACCACTTTATTGTTTTGAGTTGTCAGCCGAAAAGGTAGAACCATCCCAAATTCAATACAAATTGTAGAAAGCTATGCTCCTGTAAATTAGCAAATTCAGGTGGAAAAGGTGAAAAAAGGGTCATTATTTTTTTTGCCTGTTTTTCTTGGTGCATGTTGGTCACAGATAGAAGAGAAATTGAGAAATGAGAGCTGCTCTGTTTAGCGCTCTGTTTGGTTAAACTTTTATTTTCTGTTTAATTTGTTTTGAAACTTTTTGAAAACAACTGTTGTCTTGTGGCAAAGATTAGTTGGACTTTTTGGATGTCAAGCTTTGTGACTACATCCATCATTTGAGAGACTTGAGACATGATCCATTCATTTCACTTTACTGAACAGCTTAATATTTCAATTCTTTCCGTTCTCAACATTTTCCCCCTCCAATTCTAAATTATTTTTCTAACACTGCTCATATATAAATTGGTTATATAATATATTGGTTAAGAACAATCTTTGGTGGTGAGTGACCTTAACTCATTTCTTTTTTTTTTTTACTTATCCCCCTAATACATTTAAGAATACATAATATGTCACCCAAATGTTTGCACCAACAGAGGTATGAACTCCCACCCAGAACACACTACAAAGTACAATTCACCTAAAATTACAGCCCATTGCTAACACGTACAGGCAATATATCATCGGAATTGTCTCTCCGATTCATCGAGTTCCACAGCGTTTGAAGCCGGGGACGCAGCAACCCACCTGGTATGAATAAGATGTACAACAAATATATGACTGGGGATATGTAAGGCGGGAAAAGAATTGATGCTAGAGATACCACCGCAAGCCATCCAAACACCATCATGCTGCAGTGGATAGTCCGAGTATAGTAAGTTGGAGAGAGATAGGTGGATGGAAATCTCATGTCAGCATCATTTGCCCAACAATACACGAGCAGACTCGTAACTGCAACGAACATGGTTTTGGGGTGTGTTTCGAATGGAGAAAAGCCCTTCCCTAGATACATCAATTGGAGAAAGTTGAGGAGCAAGGGGATGATGAAGGCGAAAGTTGTGTGCTGCTGGGAGGTGGCCGCCGGTGCACGGTGTTGTTGAGAGAAGTAGCAGCTTGTCGTGGCGATGAATGCAACATTGAACTGTTCCGGGTAGCTTCTCCGATGTTGCCGGTGGAAATAAAAGTGTGTTCTTGCAGTGTCGGCCATCGGAGTATGATCAGAAATCTGAAGAAGATAGATGAAGTTGAGTTATAACAAAATAAAAGTCTAGATCAAGAAAGAGTGGGGGAGAGAATATTGCATTACCAGAGGTTTTGGAAGAAGGTGTTTGTTTGGTTCAGTGTTTGCATTTGTAGCGTTGGTCTTTTATAGTGCAATTGACTATATAAAGAAATTTCCAAGCAAACAAAAGCTTCCGGAATGCTTAGTCATCTATTTGAGGCCATTTGTAATTGGGCATAAAGGTTCAGAGGGTTTTAAAGGTTCAGGGCTTGTTGTCTGAACTCTAAAGTGGCCGGGCTTGACGTTGACATTAATGTGTCCATGTCAACGTTTTTCCGGGAGAGAAGAGTTGGTAGTAGACTAGTAGTGTGGTGGAGAGGTATGTTGCTTGCTATATACAGTATAAGAATACAAGCACTCAAGGAATGCCACGTCGGCAAGAGCCTTGCGCGCCGTAAGCCTCTATTGCCTTAATTAATCTCCGTTACAAAGATACACTATCACAATTCTCTCCCACGCGCTTTCTACACTCCCCCACCTATATAAATTGTGTTTGGAAAGAGGAGGAAAGGATGTAGTATGCTTCCATTGATTAGTAGAGTAGGAAGGGATTCTTGAAATTACTTAGACTTTCAAATTATAACTAAAAAAAAAATCTATATATATATATATATATATATATATATATATATATATATATATATAAATCATTAACCCGTATAGGGCGCTCTAACAGTTAGGCTCAACACCACTATCATTCAAAAATAAATAAAATTTTCTATAAATATATTTGTCTCACATAATTCACATTCTTACATCTATTCACCCTTCAAGGACTAATTAGTAATTTTCATTTTTTTTAGTTGGTACTCACACACACATGTCTCTACTGAGACTCGAACCATTAACCTCTTTTGAGAAATAGGGGCTTGGTACTGTTAGGCCACTGGCTTGTTGATCAGCAGTGTTTGGTAAATAAAAAACAAGCTTCTAAGCATAGAGGTTTAATAAATAAATTATTAAAAAAAGTGTATTTTGAAAAAGTTGGAAATGGGATCGTGGTATCTAATATTTTTTTTTTGTACAATATAACCATCCTTTATTTTCATAATTAGAAAGCTATTCACGATAAGAGAAAAAAAAAATGTATATATATATATATATAAATAAATAAATAAATAAACTATCAAAATAATAACATACAAGTAAATAAAAAGTGTTTAGTTGGGACTCTGTCATCGTATAACACCTACCTTACCTATTATATATATATATATATATATATATATATATATTGAATATTTAAAAATAAGTATTGCAATATTATGAGGACTATTATTGCTAGCCTGATTTCATATTTGAATATTTATAATCCAATTTTCTATTTTTTACATTTATAACGCAATTTTACATTTAGCTTATAAGATTCTAAATTATAAACATTTTGTAAATTACATTTATCTAAAAAAATTTAGTTTGGATTTTTCAAAGATATTCGTAGTATCTGAAGATTTTGTATTTATTTATTTGTTAAGAATTCCCTATAAAAGTGTATAAGAGCATTTTTCGAACAACTGATTTAAGAGATTATTGTATAGGTAATTCAGTAAAATTAGTAATAAAAGTGTTTTAAGCAATAATGTTACCAAACAAATTTAACACTACTTTAAGTATAAAAAATATTTTATATAATGTATCACCAAATACCTAACATGTTTTACTAAAAGCACACTTATAGTTTTTTGACCGCTCTACTTAATTTTGTTAGGTGTAACAGGTGGGCGCTTACCCATTTACCCAAAAGCTCGAACTGTGGGACAAAATGACCCTTATTACATTCTTCCCCACCCAAACTCGCAACGCCCTCGTTGCGGTTGGGCTACCCTGCCTACCCGGGTGGACTCACCTGGGGCTACCCTGCCTACCCGGGTGGACTCACCTGGACGCCTTCCGGGCCGGGCGCTTGGCGTGGCACCGGATCAAAGATTGGGTTTGACTCTGATACCAACTGTAACAGGTGGGCGCTTACCCATTTACCCAAAAGCTCAAACTGTTAGGTAAGGCTACATACCCACCCATTTATACCCAATCTCTTTCCCATCCGATTCCGATGTGGGACAAAATAACCCTTGTTACACTAGGTCATAAGCTTGTTGATTCATACCTATACATTTGTGGGGTGGGTGTTGATCCCTTTTTTCCGGAAGTTTACAGAAATGATACCGCGTATATTGGTTCTTGTTGAGGTTGGGGGGCGTTTCGGGAAGATTATTACAAAACTTTGGGGGTTTACTTTTCTTTGACTAGCTCTAATAGAATCATGTGACCATCTCACGCTTCATGGAATAGGATGAACCTACGAAGAACCTTCAACGCTCCCGTTGAAAGAAAAAAAAGAAAAACCAAAAACCTTCAATATCTTATCCCTGGAATATATATATATGGTCCCACAGTTGTATGCTGTGACTTGGAAAGGCCTCATAGATTCACTCCTTCAACTTTATATATATATATATATATATATATATATATATATAATATAGAGAGAGAGAGAGACTGCTCTAAGAAAATTGATTGTGATTTGCTCAAACATTACTGTATTATATTAATTAAAAAGTTGAAATAAAAAAAAAAATTAAAATAATGGTAGATCTAATATTTTGAAATTTAATTTTAGTGAGTTAAGCAGATTTCATCTTTAATTTTAGGAGAGGAATTCTAAGATTAACCATTCAATTGCGGGTTCTTAGAACCCAAAAAGGTTAAACAAATTTGTTTTGCAAAATTAATGAACTAATGACCAACAATCATCTCAAGTACTCCCTAAACCTTTTTTTTTTTCTTTTTCAAATGATATGTATCCTCACACAAACTCAAACACTCCCAAAAATTAATCACTATGAGGTTTGAACCCTCACATTCCATTTGCGAAGTTTAATGGTCTACTGATAAAATACTTCCTAATTAAGTTGCATTGTGAAATTGAATCAACTCATTTATTTGCAATTTTCATTCTTATGGAATTTAAGGTAATGATGATATATAAAAAATAAACTTAAAAACAGAAAAGAAAAAAAATTGTTGCACAAAATGCTACTTTTTTTTTTCCAACTGACTTAGAGGAGTGTCCCACTCTTTTAATGAATCTTAATCCCTTCTCAATTAGCATCAAAGTTCAAAATAAATTTTTTACTTTACTCATTTAAAGACTCGAATTCTCACCATCTATTTTGAAAGGTAGAAAAAATATTACTGAACCAAAAGGCCCTTAATTTATTTTTATTTATTTATTTATTTTTTATGCACATTATATTTCAATCATTGCCGACTATTATTATTTTTTCATTCCGAAGTAAAATGAGGGAAATGACATTTATCACTTTATTTTGTTTCCCTCGGTATTAAGGTGTCATACTACACATAAAACTTGCTATGCCTCGTTGTATAAAATCCTACAATTTATTGCATCAATATAAAAATGCCACATTTTTCTCATACATACTTAAAAAATATATATTATCATTATCTGGTTTAGTGGGTTGACACTAGCTTGAATCGGTGTTATTTGTGGGAGTTCGAGTTTGAGAGTTGTCGCTTTTGTGAAACACTAATGGCTATAAGGGCATCTCCAATGGACTCTCCGAATTCGGGCTCTCTGAATTTGCCGCATCAGTATTTTCTCATAGCTACGTCAACATTTTC